TTTTTACTTTTTAAACTGTTTTTTTAAAAACTAAGACACAAACACACACAGGCCTACACAGGGTTAGGGTGTCTTGAAGGTGGGGAGGGAACAGAAGATAAAATGTAGAAGGCAAGCACTGTATGTAGCATGAAAAAAACATGCCACAGAATGGGACAATGGGTGACTTACTTATCTCGTTGGTTCTGCCTAGAGGTGAGAGAAAATCTTCCAGAAAATTCTTAACCACAAGACTTAACACATGTTTAGGGCCAGAATTGACATCACCTATGGGATCTAAATATCATAAATTATAATTTTAGTTTAAAGTGGTTCCAGTTAGTAATATCTCTGGGCACCTGGTAGAAGAAAATGTAAATCCTTTGAAGGAAAATGCCTTTAGTCCAATCCTTAAAAGAATTCTAACATAAAGTTCAAAGAAATTCATGAATCTATCCTTAAAAGTCACAAAACATGGAAGAAAATGAATCACCTAAAATAAGAGCTAACAAGAACAACAAGTGGTACAAACAAACCTACAAAGGTTGTAGATATAGAATATAAACTAAGTACAGTTGTCCCTTGGTATCTGAGGGTCCCCTTGGTATCTCATTGGTTCCAGGACCGCCCAAGGATACCAGAATCCACAGATGCTGAACTTTCTTGTATAAAATGGCATAATATTTGCATATAACATACGTACATCCTTCAATATACTTTAAATCATCTCTAGATTACTTATAATACTTCATACAATAACTCATACAATATAAATGCTTTGGAAATAGTTGTTACACTGTGTTGTTTTTATTTTTTTATTATCTTTAATAGTTGTATTATTTTTTATTGTTTTTTTCCCCAAAACATTTTTGATCTACAATTGCAGAACCTGTGAATACAGAAGGCCAACTGTATATTTAATTTGGTTAAAGAAATAAAAGAGAGTTGCAAGTGTAATAGAGAAATAAGTGACAAAAAGATCAGGTAAATTTGAAAAAGAATTAAATAGAACTTAAAGAAATGAAAAATGTATTACTTGAAGGGAGAAACTTTAAAGCAACAAATCAACACATTTGAGAAGAGAATTTGTATACCAAAATACTTTAAAAGTTTCCTAAAATGCAATATAAAGAGAAAGAAGAAATATAAAATCAAGGTTAAGGGTATGTAAAGGAAGATAATCCAGTATACATCTAATTATAGAGAGATAATAGACTAAAGAAGAGGCAAAATTTGAAGAAAGGATGACTAAGAATTTTCCAGAAATGTTGAAAACTTGAATCCTTAGATTCAAGAAACTTAATATATCCCAGGCAGGATAAACGAAAGCAATCCACAAATAGACACATTATATATAGTGCATTTCAGAACACCAAATATAGTAGTAATACCTTCCTAGAATGGAAGCAGAAAAAAAATAAAAGAACAAAACCGAGATCCCCTTAAAGGAATTTTGAAAGTATGTAATTTAGGAAAAGGGAAAATGATCCCAGAAGTATAGTCTGAAAAGTAAGAAGTAATGAGCAAAAAAATGGTAAACATGTAGGGAAATTATTTACTACAAACTTTAGAAAATATGTGTAATTGTGAAGTTTAAAAGAAGATAGAACTGAAATATTGGACAATAGGAAGGAAGGGATCAGAGTTAAAGTATTCTTTGGATTTGTATTGTTGGGAGGAAGTTAATTTATTAGCTTGAGAGTTTCTTAAATATGCATGTTAAAATTTCTAAACCACTAAAATATTGAAATAGAATATGTAACTGCCAAACAAGAAAGAGTAAAAAGTAGAATGGGGGTGGTGGGGGAACCACTGCCCAAACAACCCAGTGTTGAGAAAAGTGGAGGAGGAGATATACAGAAATATAGAAAATGAAATCATTAAAAATCACAAAATAATATGGTGGTAATATGTACAAATATAATCACAGTAATTATGAATAGTCTAAACTCTTAATAAATGATAAAATGTGTTAGAATGAACAAAGTTCAGTTCTATTTTGTTTCTATTATAATAAACATATAAAAAATGAAATGCTATAATAAAGTTTGGAGAAAAAGGATGAAAAAATACATGACAGACAAATTTTATGCAAAAGAAAGTAGATGTAGCTGAATTAATAGTAAACAAAATAGACTTTAGAGCACAAAGTATTTTTAGAGATAATGATAGTCATTAAAATTTTTTTTTTTAAGAGGCAAGATCTCACTGTTTCACCCATGCTGGAGTGCAGTGGCACAGTCATAGCTCACTGCAACCTCCAGCTCCTGACCTCAAGCAATTCTCAGCTCTGGCCTCCCAAAGTTCTGGGATTATAGGTGTGAACCACCACACCCAGCCATTGGTCGTTAAATACTGATGAAAGGTTCAGTTCATCTAGAAGATAGTTCAGTTTTCAGCTTGACATCACATAATAATCCAGCTCCAAAATATATAGGCAAAATCAGCAGAACTCTAACAAGAAGTTAACAGATCCATAATCGTAGTAGGAGAGCTGTCAGTAATCAGTAGATCAATCAGATAAAAAATTAGACTATAGGAGATTTGAACAACTCAGTTAAGCTTGAACTAATGGACATGTTGCAAACATTGCACTCAACAGCTGGAGTGCACACATTTTTTTCAAGCAAAAGTGGAACATTTCTAAAAATCGTATTGAGTCATGGAGCAAGTATCAAAAAATTTCAAGGAATTGGTATATTCTCTGATCACAATGCTATTAAGATAGAAATAATAACAAAAAGAAGATAATTTAAATTTTCCCATTTGTTCAGAATTAAAAGTATACTTCTATATTATACACAGACTGAAGAAGAAATCTTTAACAGAAATTAGACAATAAGAGCAGAAATTAATAAAATAATAAATGATACAATAGAAACCACAAAAATTGTTCTTCAGAAAGAATAGTGAAATCAATAACTTCTGAGAAGACAAAGGGAGAAAAACATAAGGAATTTTAAAAGGTAGTAGTTAAGGGATATTACATTGTGAACCATTGTGAACCCCCACATCTCAGTGGTTTAACAATACAAAATGTTAATTCTTGTTCTCGCTTCTTATCCACTGTAGGTGCATTGTGGTCATTCAGGGACTTAGGCTGATGGAGGCTTCATTTCAGTACATACTTCCATCATTTCTACCTCAAGGGGAAGACAACTGGCAGTTAAAACATTTTTTGAAAAGTGATATATATTTTTCCCCCTCACGTTTCATTGGATGAAGCAGGTCACGTGGCCACACCTTGCTTCAGAGATAATGAGCCAGTGCAGTCCTACCATGGGCTTGAAGTAGTATTAGAATTTTCATGAACTGCCTTAATGACTACCACAGGGATATGACCAGGATGCAGCAGAGATTTAAAAGATTATGAGAGAATATTACCAACTTTATACTAATAAAGTTTAAATGTTAAAAGTTGATGAATAGATAGGTTTCTACAATTATATAAATTATTGAAACTGACTCAATAAATAGAAAAAAATACATTGAGGTAAATCAGCTGTTAAATCATCTTTCATAAAGAGAACAGATAAAGACGGTTATGAATTAGTTCTAACAACAGTAATTCCTGTTTCACACAGTCTATCAGAGAATATGACTTCAGTTACCAAAATCAGTCAAAAATAGAATGGAAAAATTACAAAGTCTCATTCATGAATACAGAAGAAAAATCTCAAAATACATCTTAACATGCTGAATCTAGTAATATATAAAACATATAATATGTTATGACCTAATTGAGTTTATTCAAGAGATTGAACATTAGAAAAAATTAACGTTTGAAAGGAAAATTGCATGATCATCTCAGTAAATAGGGAAAACAGTTAAATTCCACAATAATTTATGATTAAAAACTCTTAGCAAATGAGGAATAGAACTTTCTTAATTTCATAGAAGATATCTATGAAAATATGAAGCAAGTTCAGGAACAAGTTGAGGTAACCTCCTGTCACTACTGTTAATATTGTACTGGAAATTAAAAATTGTACATAGAACAGTAAGGTAGACAAAGCAAAGATAGAAAAATT